TAGAGCCCTGGAGTCAGGAAATCCCAAGTTCAAATCCAGCCTCTGATACTTACCTAGCTATGTGACCCTGGGCAAGTCACTAAGAGGAGTTGGAGAAGAAAATAGCAAACCACTCTAGTACTGATATGGTTTTGGGTTTCTGGGAACCCTGAAATATCAGGGTACAGGGCAGCAACCCCTTGGAATGAATTCACTCATTCAAACTTTCCCGTCAAAATGGCAAGGTTTATTGTAACACCAATAGAAGTGGGCTAGATTCCTGGTGAACATGCCACTTAATGGGGTGAGATTGATACTTACATACAAAAAAGGGACAGTGAAAAGATTCTGGATGAGATTAAGGAGTAATAAATAGCCTGGGGTGGGCCAGGTGTAATAGTGAAAGGAGTATTAAGTAGTCTGGCTGTGGGCCAGATGCCTTGAGTGAGAGACAGTGATCTGGGTTGCTGAAGTGTATGGGAAAATTCGGGGACTGGGTTGCTTTCAAAGACATGGTCTTTTGCTTTTAGGGGTCCCGGTCCCATCACTCCATCACTATTGCCAAGAAAACCCCAAAAGAGATCATGAAGAATCTACTGAAGAGCGATTTGTATCAGGCACTGTGTTAAATACTGGGAATACAAAGAAAGGCAAAAGACAGCCCCTGCCCTCAAGGAGTTTACAGTCTACTAAGTTTAGCCTCAGAAAGTTTCTGTAGATATTAAAACTTGGGAAACTGTATTGTTAACGCAGCACCTTTCTCAGGGGTTTTCAAATGCTTTTCCTCCTAAGAGGTAACTGTTCAACTCTAGACTTTGGAAAAAATAATCTATTTTTGGTGGCATTTCTCTCATTTTATTCTGCCTTTTTGCTCCCAAGCTCCTCTAACAAAGTCACCTTGTATTCACAGATTCCTTTAAGGGGAAGGTCACCTAGAAAAGAATTAGTCAAACTTTCTCCAGGCCATAACAAACCTTTAAAGTTAAGGGGAGTGTCCAGCAAAGGCATGTGCCCCAAACTCCATACACAACAAAATATTTGCAGCAGTATTTGTTGTGGTATCAATGAATTGGAAATAAAGTAGATGTGCATTGATGGGGAATGGGTAAACAAGCTGTGGTCCACAGATGTAATGGAATATTACTATGCCATAAGAAATGGTGACAAGCATGGCGAATGCAGGGGAACATGGAAAGATCTACTCGAATTGATGTGGAATGGATAGTAAGCAGAACCAAGAAAACAATATAGACAATGACCACAGCCAGGTGAAATGAAACTGAACTTTCTTAGTCATTGTGATGACCAAGCTAGGCCAATGGAAAAAAATTGAGAAAATATGCCTCCCAGTCCTCCTTGCAGAGATGAGGGCTTACGGGAGCTGAATAGTATATATATCCTTGTCAGATATGCTTGACATGTTGGCTGGGTTTGCAAAATGGCTTTGATGAGGTAAGGGCCCAAGCTAAGACCTTTGTCCAATTTGGGCCCCATTTGTCCTTGGGCCCTAGACAACCCTTGGACTGTCCTTGAATTCTCTTACTTGATCAAGGAAGCCCCTGAAGTATAATCTCATCAACTGCCCTTTCCTTATCACCTACACCCAAAGGTATAATCCTACCAAATGGCTATTCCTATACCCAATCTCCAATTCTCTGTTCCTAGCCCTCCATTGTCTCACCTCCCAATGCCAGGCCACTTCCCACCTTTAATCCTTTCTGGGCTCCATTGTCCCTTGGCCACGTGGTCCAGGTCCCTGGCATCTACTACCTCTCAGTCCCCTCAGACTACTTGGCCACTCCTAGATCCCTCCCATAGTCTTTCTGTATATAAGGTCCATCTTGTCTCCATCATGATGGAAAATGCTATCCACATCCAAAGAAAGAGCTATGGCGTTTGAATGCAGATCAAAGCATACTATTTGCTATTTTTTTTTCTTCTGTTGCGTTTTGTTTCCTCTTTCTAGTGGTTCCTCCTATTAGTTCTAATTCTTACTTACAACATCACTAATGTGAAAATATGTTTAATAGGAATGTGTATGTATAACCTATATTAGATTGTGCACCATCTTAGGGAGGGAGGTGGGGAGGGAGGGGGAGAAAAGTTTAAAACTCAAAAGCTTATGGAAGTGATTGCTGATAAATCAAAAAAATTAATAAAAATTAATAAAAATTAAAAAGCAGGGAATAAATTCAACATGATTCCTTCAGAGCTGAAGGGTCTTACATTCTAAACCTCCTGACAAGTCCCAGAGTACAGTGGGCTGCCTGGGGAGACAATGGGCTTTCCCCAACTGCAGGTTTTTAAGCAGAAGCCAGGTGATCATTTGTCAGAGGTTCTGTAGTGGGGCTTCTCCAGGTAGTGTTGGCCTGGATAGCAAACCCTGAAATTCTCTCAGCTTATAAGATCCAGATGAAGTTACTGACCTGCATCAGTAAAGGGAATTTCCACAATGGGAGTTCCTTAGAACGATGGGACCACAGGTCCAGACCCTATCTCGATCCACTAAAGAAAACCAGCTCATTTTACAGATGAGGAAACTGAGGCAAATAGGGCTAAGCAACTTGCCCAGGGTGTCTGAGGCCACATTTGAACTCCTGAAGATGAGTCTTCCTGACTCCAGGCCCAACACCGTATCCACTGTACCACCTAGCTGCTTTCATAAATCATAGGGAAAGGCCATTGGCCAAGTAGGGAGTGGACAGATTCTTCAGGGCCACTGGAAGGCTGGGTTCACTAAAACTTAGTCAAGAAATAGCTGGTAAGGGAGTGCCCAATCCTCTTATGGGAGAAAGATGATTTTTCTCCTTTCCTTCATCTCACTCAGTAGGAGATAGATACCCCATCTGAGAGTTTGTCAGCTTGAGAGACTTCAAGGTATGGTTGAAATGTATCCAGCAGGAAACAGTAACACATATTCTCTAGTCAGGTACTGACAATGAGAGGAAGTCATGGGAGGAAGCAGTTTTAAGAAATATGACCCAACATTGGGGAAAGCTGACCATAGCTTCAGTGGAAAATGAACTCTGGCAATCAGAAGGCCAGTGTGTAAGGACTCAAGGAAAGAAAGGATGCCAGGCCCTGTAATACCAGAGGAATGAGTAAATTGCCTTGGCCACATAGGTACCCTATACGTATATTTCACTATCTTTGTGATCTAAATTTATACCCCTTCTTTCCACAGATGCTATTCTTATTTGTGAGAGAGTGCACCCCAAGTTAATGGAACAATATTTTATAACTATCATTCTTACTGTATCATATTAACAAATACCTTTACTTTGAGCTAATTATGTCTATTTGCTAACTATTAAGGGAACGATCACTGGTGGGGGGTCACGAGCAATACTTTAGGAGTGCAAATGCACAACCTATCCTAGACCCTAAAAGTATCAATCGTCCTCTGGGGAAGGAGCCTGAAGGGGATGTACATGTAAGATAACCATCTCTTCCCCATCTCCCAACCTCACCATGTTTCTTTTTCCAAGCCTTTTCAAGGTGGTTTGGAGGCTGTAAGAAGAGAGAGACTGTGGTGGTGGTGTTGTTCAGGTGTTTTCAGTTGTTCCAAACTCTCTGTGACCCCATTTGGGGTTTTCTTGGCAGAGATACTGGAGTGATTTGCATTTCCTTCTCTAGTTCATTTTACAGATGAGGAAACTGAGGTAAGCAGGAATATATGACACAGGCAGTAAGTGTCTAAGGCTAAGAGAGCATTGGAAACCTCCCGTTCATAGTTACATGGCTAATCTCTTCCCCCTCTCTTTCATACCACCAGTGCTAGCTAGCTTCAAATCCAGACTCCTTCTATCATTGTACACAGGAGCCACTTTCCATCAGCATGAGTCTCAGACATCAGCTAAGAGACAGTGTCCTGCAGCATTTTATCAAGTGAAGAGCCAAATGCGAACCGTGCTGCCAACCAGCAAACAGCTGAAACCCTGTTGTTAACATCCCCAGACTCATATCATATTGCTTCACTGATGGCTAGAACTGGGAGAAACTTTAGAGACCCTTTTGGTCCAGCCCCTTCATTTTACAGATGAGAGAAACTGAGGCACGGAGCAGTTAAGGATCTTGTCTGGGGCCATGTAAATAGTAAGTGTCAGATTGGAACCCAAGCTCATGATTCCCAAGCACATCCTCTTTCCATTGTATTTATCTGCTTCCTAGGGAGTTACTAGCAGATTAGGGGCTCAATCTCGTTCCTCTGATTATTATGACAATTCACATTTAAGGTTTGCAAAGAACTTTACATATAATCTCATGAGATGCTATTATCTCCATTTTGCAGAGAAGAAAACTGAGGTTTGAACATTGATTGACTTGCCTGGAATCACACAGCTAGAAAGTACGTGATGCAAGATTTTGTCTCCAAGGCCAGGATTCTATCCACTGTACCACTCTGTCTCTCTAAAACTTGCCACAAATGTCATTCCATGCAATCCTGGCAGTGCCCTTTGGAGGTCTGTCCTAAGGGGGAAGGATTTGCACTCCTAAAGAAGACCTGGGTTCGAATCCTGCTCCCAATCCTTGCTAGCTGCATGACCCCAGTTAAGTCACACTACAGGGGCCCCCAGTGAGGTGTAGGGAAGAGTTCTCCCATCCACATGACCCTGGGCAAGTCACTGCCCCTCTACGGGCCTCAGTTTCCTCATTTGTCAAAGGAGGGGGTTGGTCCGATGATTTCTCAAGTCCTTTCAAGCTCTAAAGCTGTGATAGTACAGTCCAGGACCTCGGAGAATGTTGAGGGATATCTCTTCAGCAAAGAATGCCGAAGTCCTACCCAAAATTACCTTTTCCCTCCAGTGTTCAAGGGGCTGTTTTCTGAATAAGAACATGTGGGAAAACTTAAATAGTTTCAAAGCCAAAGCAGTGTCCCTTTGCACCCAACTATCCCTTTAAATAAAGGCTCCAGGCCCAGGGCCCAGGGTAGCTTTCGGTTAATGTTTGACTAATGTCACCCAGGGTTTGCCCCCAGCTGGGAATACTGGAGGTGGAACATTTGTTCGCTTGGCTGATTTTCCACTTGCCAGTGGAAAGAGCCCTGCATAAAGCCACCTGGCTCTGGAGCTGAGGACCCTCCCCTCCACGGCCCATCTGCTTAGAGGCGACTATCTGGCCTGAGCCCTCAGCTCTTGGCAGGTAAGCCCAGGCAGCCGTCACTGCCATCTTCACGACTTTCTCACATGGACTCCGAGACCACTGCCAAGTTCATAGCCAGCAGACAGACAAGTAGACTCTAAGAATGCAGCTGCCCTTTGACTTCCTACGCAGTGGGAGGAAGGGAATCTCTAAGGAACTGAGCCATGGGCAGAGCAGTCATTGACTCCTAGATTTTTTCCAACATATTTTCAAGGACTTAAAACACCAAAAAATGTGACCTTCCCACCACCTGGCCCCACTTCTCAGGTCTGCAGTTTGACCTCTCTCTGCACAGCAGCCGAAGGCAGTGGGGTTGTCCTGCCCCAAACCACACTTGCTCAGTCAGGTAGTCACCGGTCAGGGTTATGGGGAATGCCCTGCATTGGTGGAGGAAATATCCTCACCTGGGAGTTCTCTGTACCAAGGAAATCACAGCAGCAGTCCCAATCTCTATCCTTCCACACACTAGCCAGTCACCTCTCTCTCAAATCTTCTGAAAGCATACTTTGAATGAATGAATGAAAAATCATTTATTAAGCCCTTACTGTGGTTCAGGCACTGTGCTTGGGGATACAAATACAAAAGCAAAGACACTCCTGCCCTCAAGAAGCTTACATTTCAATAAAGGGAAACAATACATAGGGGGAGGGGTGGTTAGGGAGGGGAATTCTGATTGGGGGAAAGGAAGGGGTTAAGTTGTGACCTACTTTGTGCCTGGCATGGTGCTTTACTAATATCTCATTTGATTTTCCCAACATCCCGGTGAGGTAAGTGTAATTTTCATTTCCACTTTTTATCTGAGGGAACTGAGGTAAACAAGTGAAGTGACTTGCCCAGTGTCACACAGCTAGTAAGTATCAGAGGCCAAATCTGAACTCAGATCTTCCTAACTCCAGACCCAGCAGATTTGGAAAATTGCATGGATGGGGAATGGAGCCATGGGGGAATAGAGTGAAGTGGTCTATTCCAGTTGGAATGACAGAATTGATTTGATTGTTTCCAGAATCAAATGTCATGGAGGTGGGATGGAGGGGTAGGGGAAGAGGAAATTCTGAGAGTTGAAAGGGTTAAATCACTAGGTCAGGCTTCCATTCCAATGACCCAGTGAGAAGATGGTGGGGTCAGGGACCCTACACCATATTGTCACACTCTTCTACTGAAAAGCCCGAGGAAATACAAGCTTATTAACTTGGAGCTGTAGCCCTCCTGAAGCTAGCTTTGCAGACAGAGCTCCATCATTCCCCCGGAGTACTCCTACCTCGACCAGCTGGGCTTTCCTTTGTGATTCCTCATATACACACGAGTTCCATGGCCTTTATCCCCACCTCTGCATAGGCCATCCCTCCCAGCATGGAAAATCCTCCAGCTTCCCCTCTTAGAGATCCTCCAACGTTTCCTCCTCCCAGGCGTTTCAGGACCTGTCCCACCCTTCCCCCCACCCCCAGGTTAACTTGTATCTCCCTTGTATGTTGTTTTAGGTAAGTATTGTTTTCCCCAACACAGTATGTAAGCTCCTTTAATCAATCAATCTATCAATCAATGTGCATTTATTAAGCACCTACTATGTACCAGGTGTTGTGCTATGGGCTAGGATACAAAGAATGAAGCAATCTCTGCTCTCAGTGAGCTTACATTCTAATGGTGAGGTGGAGAGAATCAATCATATACAAACATTTACAGCATAAATATAAAGTGAATAAATGTAAATCTGTACCAAAGTAGATAAATACTAGGGATTGCTGGAGGAGAGCACTGAGGCTGGTCGGGGCGGGTCAGGAAAGCTTAAAGAAGAAGGCAGTGCCTGCCCCATCATAAAGGAAGAGTAGGACTCTATGAGGCAGAGGAAAGGAGAAAGGGCATGCTAGGCGTGAGGGACAGCCAGGGCAGAGGGATAGAGATGGGAGATGAAGTATCTTTTGTAAGGAAAGCAGAGAAAACTAGTTTGGCCTGATTGCAGAGTGCAGAGATAGATGGGAGTAATATCCCACAAGGCTGGAAAGGTAGGTTGGGATCCGGTTATGTAACAAAAACACAGGAGTTTCTATCTTATCCTAGAGGCAATAGGAAACCACAGGAGCTGAGAGTCATCTGTTTAAGAAAATCGCTTTGTGTAGGAGGGACTGGAGTGGGGAGAGATTTGAGATGGGGAGATCAAAAGAGGGCTGGTGCAGTAATCAAGGAGAGAGCTGATCAGGGCCTGGACAGATGTGAGTGGAGAGAAGGTGCAGATGAGGGGGATGTAATGAAGACAGAAACAAGAGCATTCGCAGCCCCTGGCCGAGTGAGGGGAGAGAGAATGAGAAATCCAGGCAAGGCTATGGACCTGAGAGAATGGCAGGGTGGTGGAGACTTCCACAGAAATAGGAACATCTGGAATAGGAGGAGGGGGAAAGGTGATCAGTTCTGTGATGACATATTGGCGTCCAGGGAAGAACTGGCCAGCAGAGGAGCACCTGCAGACAGATGGATGCACTAAGAGAGTCGCCTGAGGGTGATGGCTGGCGCTTTCAGGCATTGTGATCCTTGTGACAGAGAAACTATGGATGAACTCTAGGAAAATTCAAAGATTGAAAGGAGATTTTCTTTACCTTCTATCTAGAGAGAACGTCTATATGATAATGGGCCTCAGAGACAGGGTGGGGGTCCTCTGCATTTTGCAAGAAGAAAGATGTTTATAGATTATTACTGATCATCATAGATTTGGAATTGAAAGAGACCTCCTCTGAGTCACTGCCCCCATTTTACATATCAGGAAACTGAGGCCAAGAGAGGTTAAGTGATGCTTGTGAGAATCAAAGCCCAAGTACCCTGTACACTTCTTTTCATTGTACTCTAATGGGGAGGAAGTGGCCATTGGACTAACTGCTCCTACTGTCCCCATGGATTAAATTCTTTCCTATCTTTCCATCTGACTCCTGGTCCATCATAAATTCTTCGACTGACAGAACCCAGGGCTTCTTAGCCTGAGGTCTGCGAGCTTGTTCTTCTCAAAAATATTTCAACAACTTCATTTCAATGGAATTGATTTCCTTTGTCATCTGTGTATTTTATGCTGTCCATTTAAAAACATAATTGTGAGAAAGGGGCAGTTGGCTTCCACAGCCTTCCAAAAGGGTCCAGGAGCCTCAGAGAGGCTCAGAAGCCCTGGCTTCATCAGTTACTGCACTGAAAGCGATTTGATTTTCTTCCTCCTTTTAAGAGCCTCTGCTTTGTCCCCTCTCTAGATCTCATCTAAGGTAAACCTGGATTGCTCCAAGGATAAATTATGGGACTGCAGAGTTACAGAGGACCCTCCAGTTCACTTGTTCTGACCCCCCCACCCCGCAAAAGCAGGCGCCCCTTCTACAGTGGGAGTCCATCCACCAATTTCCAGTCATCTTGTGTAAGAATGGGTTATTCTAGTCTATCCAGATTGTAAGATGGTATGATTGAGTCACCCCAGGGCCCCTCTCATTTCTCCAAAGAAACCAACAGCTTCTCCTACCGGGACAGAATCATGTGCAAAACATTTTCTCTTGTTGCTTCTTCATTTTTTTGTTTTATCTTTCTTTCTTGGTTTGTTGTTAGGCAATGGGGTTAAGTGACTTGCCCAGGGTCACACAGCTAGTAAGTGTTATGTGTCTGAGGCTGGATTTGAACTCAGAGTCCTCCTGACTCCAAGGCTGGAGCTCTATCCACTGCGCCACCCAGCTGCCCGCCTTGTTGCTTCTTCTTCTACCCTTTGAAGAACACTGAGAATGCTCAAGCAGATGGACATAGTTGAAATGCCTCATCCTCACTCAACCACCTGGCCTTCATGCCAGGTTTCTGATCCGTTTCTGGAACTCATCGTGCCTTTCCTTCCTCTGGTCCAATGGTCAACGATATTGCTTCTGGATCTCCCTCCAGCCATCCTCACCCAGTCTTCTCCGTGCCTTTGTCTCCAGTTCAAGGTCTTCCTTTCATGGACGTAGCCTGAGATACAGTTACTCTGCTGCCCGTTTTCTCTAATCTAGTTCTTCTGAATAAAGTGTTCCCAGCCATTACCATATTGCAGCTGTGAGTCACATCCCACCCAGCCTTAGGAATAACTCAGGGGCTCGATTCGCATTAAGCTCCAAAGAGCCATACTCTGGCATTCTGTTGGCAGCAAATACACCAGTAGGCTGGGGCCCTGAGATGGAGGGAGCCTCCGAAGAGGAGGAGGAGAGACAACGTAAGGCCATACTGCAGAGGCCTTTCAGAATCACAGCATGCCTCACCGGTTTCCAGGGCTAGTTCACACAGGTGCTCTGCTACCCTTTTCTCAGTTTGGGGTTTGAAAGCACAATTTCTGGGCTACCCGTGGACACTTCCACTCAACTCTCCATCCCTGAATCTTAGTCTGCTGGATGTTTTGGGAACTTAGCTTGTCCCTCCAGACTTTAGCCCTGGACTTGTTCCCCCCAATTCCACCCCTGAGCCTTCCTTGCAGCCCTAGAATCTGGCTGCCCCTCTGGTGCAAGGAGGTATACTAGCTCTCTTCAGAGTTTCCATCCAAGGCTGCCATTCTTCTTATGCAACTTCCCATTTCGAACAAGACTTGTGCCTTAGTCTCAAAGTCATGGGTTCTGGCAAAATGGCCTGAGAGCAAAATTTGGATTCAGCTAAGCTGGATTCAAATCCTAGTTCTACAGCTGGCTCCCTGGGTGACCTTGAGCAAAGCCCTTGATCCCTTGAGGCCTCAGGCTCCCACCTGTAAAATGAGGTGACAGGACTAGATGCCTTCAAAGTTCTCTTCCAGCTCTTGTTCCAGAATCCTGGGTATCTCTGGTCCCCAAACTCCCACCTCTCCTAGAAAACACAAATAATCCAATCAATTCTGTATCAGGCAACCTGCTATGTGAGAGGCAGTATAGCAAAGTGGTTAGGCAGCTCACCCTAGAGTCAGGAAAACCTACGTTCAAGTTCCATGTCTGATGCACATTGACAGTATGACCCTGGGCAAATCACTTCAGCTCTAAGCTCCTTTCTCTTTAAGGCTGTGCACTACATATTATTAGAAGGAATTTCCTCACCTGGCTGTTCCTGATGCTGGAGGAGTCATGGGTCTGATTGCTATCCCTGTGTTTCAGACACTGTGTTGGGTACTGAAGCCACAAGGACAAAATGAAACAATTCTGCCCTCAGGGAGCTTCCTGTCAGGGGAGACAATGTGTGTGCAGAGGTATAAAGTATATAAAGTGGAAACGAAGTTACCTTGAAAGGGCTGCCACTGAGGGCTGGAGGGAGCAGGGAAGGCAGCCTGGCCAAGGGCTCACTGGAACTTCTTAGGTAAAGCCCTCTTTTGTATCACTAGGCAGTGAATTCCAGCATGTATCTTGGCCTGCTGCGAAATGGATAATGGACACTTGCCAATGAAACGGACCAGGGAGAAGAGCCTTCTGCTCCCAGGACCTTGGCCTGATGGATTTCCAGTTCTGGTGCTAGGATTCTCCAGGGTAAAGGTTACTTTGGCTGAATTTACCACCATGTGAGTTGAGATTCCTGCTGGGAGGAATCAAAGGTTGCTCTACTTTGTGTCAATAGTGGAGAGACTTGTTCTTCTTGCCGCACCCCACACCCCCCCCCATTAAATACGATCATTCTTTACTTATTTGTACAAAAGTTTCTAGGAATCTTTGCTACCAACACATTAAAAATAAAAGCAAAACACCTTTCCTTGAACAATGCGGGTGATGAACTAAGAAATGGCGCATATCAAAGTCTTTGGAAGAAAAGAGGCAACATTCTTTAATCTCAGATCAGAATTTCGGCCTCTGCTGTTCGCCACGAGGGACATTTCTCAAGCATGTTTTCAATGAGTAATGAGAACATATTGCTCTATCCCCATCCCTTCACCCTTGATTAGGATAGGTGATTTGTCCCTGGGCATGGCTGAGCAGGTTCACACTTCCTCCAACCCCAGGATGGTACGTGGGAAATTTGTAGCAAATGGGGCCCCAGGAATAGTCAGGAAGCACCTAAAGGATGGGGAGAGCCAGCCTGACATCTTTAAGAACAGGCCATGACAGACTAACTTCATTTCTTTCTTAGAAAGTGCCACCAGGCCAGAGGTCAAGACAATGCTTGAGACGTACTAGAGTTTTTGACCAAATCTCCCTTCCTATCTTTATCAAGATGATGGAGAGATGGGGACTCAATGCTAGCGTGGTTCAGTGAATTCAGAACTGTTCAATGGCTGGCCCCAACTGTTGCTGTTCAGTCATCTCAATCGTGTTCAATTCTTCATGACCTCATTTGGGGTTTTCTTGGCAGAGATACTGGAGTGATTTGCCATTTCCTTCTTCAACTCATTTTACAGATGAAGAAACTGAGGCAGAGTTCAGTGACTTGTCCAGGGTCACAGAGCTAGTAAGTGTCTGAGACTGGTTACTAGCTATATGACAACAGGTGTGACTGGACCAAAGGGGGTCATTAATAGGGAAAAGGACCAGATTTGAGATTTCTTTGGCATAAGGAACTTCCAGGTGAGGAATCTCCCTCTACCTTGGCTCCTCCTTGGCACTTTGTCTGCTACTTAGGGTCTTAAAGAGTTACCCAAATGAAAGGAGAAGTGCCTTGCCCGGGGTCACAGCCAGGATGTGTCAGAGGTGAGACTTGAACCAAAGTCTTCCTCTCTATCCACCATGCCATGCTGCCTCACATTAACAAGTTGATGTCAAATTGGAGGAAGACCTATAGTGGAGTATCCCCAAGAAGCTCACCCTGGCCCTGTGCTGTTCAATATTTCTTATCAATGAGTTGGATGAAAGTGTTGAAAAACTTACTAATTACATGAAAGTGGGAGAGACAGTTAGTATGTAGGGCATCAGAGTCAAGGTCCAAAAATATCTCAAGAGAACCTTTCTGAAGAGGAGAGAGCTGGAGCCCCTAAGGAAGAAGCTATTCGTGTTCCAAAGAATGTTCTGAGAGCCAGAGATGGCATGAAGTGAGAGGTCATCCCCCAAGGTGGAGAGGAAGAAAAGAAGACCCATAGCATCTGATGATTCTCTGTTTAAGGGAACAGAGGCAGATAACTGTCAACATTAGAGAAGTCTCTTGTCTTCTTGGGTCTGATACCCAAGACATAACAGAGAACCTCCCAAGACATAAAAATGGCTAACAATGACCCACTTTGGGGCACAAATGACATGACCAGAAGGAACCTAAAAAATATTGCCGATGATTATGAAGCCTTGGGCAAGAAACTGAAGACCATAGGGACATAAATTGTTTTTTCCTCACTGCTACCAAATAAAGACGAGGGATGCAGAAGAGAAAAATTAATTTTCTCTTTTAGCTGAAAAGGTGTTGTTTGGGGATGGGATTTCAATTTCTGTATCATAGTTTATCACACAGTGTTGACAGATGCCTGACCAGATGTGGGGTACACCTAGTAAAAGCTGGTAAGAATGTGTTTACTAGACATCTCTCTTGCAAATCTAATCAAAAAGACCTTTAAACTAACAAGGAAACAGGAGGGAGAAGGCGTTCCAAAAACAGATGCTATGGAGAGTAACCTCAAAGAAGGAAGAAGAGCAGCTGAACCATCTGGAGTTTCACAGGAGACAAAATCCAAGAAGAGAGCCAACAGTAACCCAAGGGCTCAGGGGTCAACAATCAAATGCCCAAAGTTGGGTAACAAACAAGAAGAACTTGGGGTCCTATCAGAAGGGGACAAGTTTGACCCCATAGGGACCACTGAGGATTGGGGGGATAAAATCTATCACTCAGTCATGACTTTGGTTGGATAAATGTTATTCAAAAGAGACAGAATAGGATTTCTAAGCAAGATGGCTGCCAGAAGAGTCCACTCAGCTGCTCCATACCTACTCCTGTAAAAATGTGAAATTTGCATCAGATTGAATAATGATCAAGAAATTCAATGAGAGAATTCAGTAAGGTATTTCCTCTACCCCAGAACTGGGCACACGCATGCACACACATGCACACAGACACAGACACAGACACACACACACACACACACACACACACACACATTCACCCAGATTTTCCAAAAGGAAGGAAGAGTACCCAGTAACAACTCAAAGAAAAAGAATAACCAAATAACTAAAAAAAACCCACAAAAAACCAGAAACTTAAAAAATAATGATTTTTCAGAAGGACAGCCCAAGAAAAAATGAAGAAAGAGACAAAAAATGAAATTAAAAAGAAACTGGAGGAAAGAAATGGAAAAAGAACGAATAGCTTAGAAGCAAAAGTAGTAAAACCTACTCCAAGTAATGTTCTAGTGCAGAAAGAAGAGGGTGGAATCTTATGCCACATAATTGGGGTACATGAAAAGAAGAGTATACAAACATGGAGGAAGGAAAGAAGGAGCCACTCAGCAGAGTTACTAAACTAGTAATGAGAGGAACGCTAGGTTAGATTTCAGCAGACCATTTTAAATTTAATTTTATTTTCTTAAACAAAGCTTGATTTAGGCTCGATTTTTGCAGAGTTTTTGATAGTCTCTTCTTCTATTCCCGTGGAGAAGATGGTAAGAAAGGGATTGGATAATGATACAGTCAGATGGATTCAAAACTGATCCAATGGCCAGATTTTTTAAAAAGGCCTTTTTAAGGCTCAGTGAAATTGAAGAGGCCTCTAGTGCAGTGCTCCTATCCCTGGCCCTGAGGATTCCCACCATCTTGAGCTATGTTAGAAGGGCCCAGCTTCCAGGAATGAGGAGGTGCTAACCCCTCTGTACTCTGGCCTTGTCAGATCTCATTCAAACAACTGTGTTTAGTTCTGGGTGCCAAAGTTTAGGAGAGACTTTGATAAGCTGGAGAGTGTGCAGAGGAGGCCAGCCAGACTGGTAAGGGGCTGTGAGGTCATGACATATGAGAATCAGTTGAAGAACATAGATGTGTTGATCCTGGAGAAAAGAAGTGTGTGTGGGGGGGCAGAAATGGGCAGGAGGTGGGGGGAGACACATGATAGCAGTGTTTAAGAATTCAAAGAGCTGTCATATGGAGGACAGATTAGACTTGCTTTGCTTGGCCCCAGGGATCAGATCCAGAAGCAGTTAGGGGAGAGTGGAGATGCAAAGAGGTCAGTTAATCAGATTCTGGTGAGATTCCCTGGAAAGGTTGTGGGTCCCTCTCCTTGGAGGCTTTCAAGTACAGGCCAGATGACCATTTCTTGGATATGTTATGATGGAGATTCTTTTGTGTATAGACTGGTCTGGATGGCCACTGGGGCTCTTTCCATCTTTTAAAATTTATATTCCAGTGATAGAACAATAAGCCAAATTAAATAAGACAAAATATAATAGGTATAGTGTCAGCTTAGACATTTGGGTTCAAAAAAGTCAACTTCACAATTACAAGGTGGAGAAAGTATGGCTAGACAATATAGATATAAAAAAGATCTAGGGGTTCTAGTGGACTGCAGGCTCAATATGATTCAGTCCTATGACGTGGCAGCCAAAAAAGAAAATGAGAAGCTAAGCAGCACTGAAAGAAGCCTAGTGCCTGGAATGAAGGAGATGATAAGCCCTGTGAACTCTGCTGTAGTCAGACCACACTGGGAGTAGCATCACCACTTCTTGGTGCCACATCTTAGGACCACATTAGTCTATTAAGTGCATGGGGGAGGTTAGGGAAAGATGAGGTAAGACCAAGATAGTGCGAGGCCTGAAAGTCATGCCGTATAAGGATCAGGGGAAGGAACTGGGAATGTCTAAACTGGAAAAAAGAAGACTTCACGGCACATAGTAGCTGACCTCAAGCGTTTGAAGTGCTAGCACACAGCAGAAGGATTGGACTTGTTTGGCCTTGCCCAAGGGGGAGGAACCAGGTTTGAAGGGTTGAAGTTGTTGAGAGGCTTGGGGTCAAGCAAAGCAACCTAACAGTGAGACCCTCTGGGCTGGAGCTAGTGGTAGGTACCTCCTCACTGGTGGGCGCCTCCTCACTGGTGGGCGCCTCCTCACTGGCGGGCTCCTCCTCACTGGTGGGCTCCTCCTGGTGGGCTCCTTCTCACTGGTGGGCGCCTCCTCACTGATGGGCTCCTCCTCACTGGTGGGCTCCTCCTCACTGGTGGGCGCCTCCTCACTGGTGGGCACCTCCTCACTGGCGGGCTCCTCCTCACTGGCGGGCTCCTCCTGGTGGGCTCCTTCTCACTGATGGGCGCCTCCTCACTGGTGGGCTCCTCCTGGTGGGCTCCTCCTCACTGGTGGGCTCCTTCTCACTGGTGGGCTCCTCCTCACTGGCGGGCTCCTCCTGGTGGGCTCCTCCTCACTGGCGGGCTCCTCCTCACTGGTGGGCGCCTCCTCACTGATGGGCTCCTCCTCACTGGTGGGCTCCTCCTCACTGGCGGGTGCCTCCTCACTGGTGGGCGCCTCCTCACTGGTGGGCTCCTCCTGGTGGGCTCCTCCTCACTGGCGGGCTCCTCCTCATTGGCGGGCGCCTCCTCACTGGTGGGCGCCTCCTCCTGGTGGGCTCCTCCTCACTGGCGGGCTCCTCCTGGTGGGCTCCTCCTCACTGGCGGGCGCCTCCTCACTGGCGGGCGCCTCCTCACTGGTGGGCTTAAGCAAAGGAGCATTTGCTTGAGATGTTGCAGTGAGATCTGATGTTCAGGTACTGGTAGGACTAGATGATTTTGGTGGTCATCCAAGTTTCAGGTTCTGTGAGCTGTGCCCTGTATTCCTGGGTGTCTGTGGCTTGCAA